TAGCGTCTATTATAAAGGGTGTAATAGCAGAGCATTTATAAACACAAGACATGATCAAGCAGAGTCAGCATGGTTTCATGAAGTGAAATAATGCCTAACAAAGTTAAACTTCATTGAGGAGATAAAGAGGCAACAGTGAATGTAATATATTTGGATTTTCAGCAGGTGTTTGATAAGGTACCTCACAGCCAAGTTTATGGGTATCACAAAAAACATGCAGAGGGATATAGACAGGTTAAGCTGGTGGACAAAATGCTGGCAGATGGAATATAACATGGGAAAATGTGAGGTAATACAGTTTGGCAGAAAAACTAGAGTTGAATATTATTAATAATGAGGAAAGCCTGCAGAAAGCTACAGAATAGAGGGATTTGAGAGTCCTGTCCATAAATTACAAAAACCCACCATCCAAGTTCAGCTGGTAATAGGCAAGGAAAAGGCAATGCTTTCCTTCTTTTCAAAGGGAATGCAGATTAAAAGTATAAAACAATGCAAGGCTCTAGTCAGACCATGGCTGGAATACCGTGAATAATTTTGGGCCCCTTCATCTAAAGAAAGAGATACTGCCATTGGAAGAAGCCCAGAGAAAACTCATTGGGCTGATACCAGGTATGGAGACACTATGGAGATTGACCATGTTGGGCCTGTACTCATTGAAATTTAGAAAAATGAGACCTTACTGAAACATTTTTTAGGGGAATTGACAGGGTAGATGTGAAAAGGTTGTATCCCCTTGTGGGAGAGTCTAAAACCAGAGGGCATAATCTCAGAATGAGGGGGCACACATTTAAGACTGAGATGAGAAGGAATTTCTTCTCTCAGAGGGTAATGACTCTGTGATACTCTTTCCAGCAGAGAGCCTTTGCGATTAGATTAAAGACTGAGATGGACAGATTTTTAATCTGTAAAGAAATCACGGGTTATGGGAAAAGTAAAGAAAGTGAAATTGATTATCAGAGTAGCCACGATTTCATCGAATGACGGAGCAGACTCAATGGGTTGAATGGCCTACTCCTATGTCTTATGGTCTTCAATGTCTCATCATGCATCACATGGGCATATTGCTGTGCACAGCAGCTAAAACTGCACAGGCAGCTTCTCACCTCTGGGGACAAAGTAATCTGCACAGGTGACAGAAGCACCAGTCTATGGAGCAGGAGAACTACTCCAGTTCAGTTGTGAGCTGTGATTGTCATTGAATAATTTAGGTACGGTTCCTGAACAGATTACTTCATTTTCTTTGTATGCAGATGGGGGATGGAGGGTAAGAGATGGGGCAGGGTCTTTCATTGATCTGAATGCCTGTGATCAAAGGCAAGCTGAGAGCCTTCCCACAGCTAACCCACTCCATCTCTCTCCCCCTGCTAACCCCACCCTGCAAACCCACTCCCATTTTACTTCTCTGTCATCTAGGTCACTCTGCAATCTTGGAATTTGGACTTTGTCCTTCCTGCAGTAACTATGGCCTCTACAGGTGGCGCTACTCAGCACAGGAACTGTTAGTATCTGATTGGCTACAAGCTTAGAGTATGCAAGACCTCCAACCTTAGGGGTTTTGATCACAGGGGAAGGACCAGTAGTTTTGGAAACCTGGTTGGCAAGGATGAGTTGGGCCAAAGGGCCTGTTTCTGTGTTGTATGATTGTATGGCTTTGCCTGCACCCGTTGGGTTTGTGTCCTGCGAGGCTCTCTGGAAATGGGTCTCCATCCGGTAGGTGTGACCTTTGACACCTCCGAAAGATTCCATCCTCTGTGTATATGGAGTTGGTGCCCCATCCACCAGCAGAGCATGTGATACATTTCCTGTTTAATGTAATGCTCTGCATGTTAAATACTTGGCAGAAATGCATGAGGTTGCTGCATATTATATTCAAAGAGTTTGGCCATGGTCTTTGGGGTGGATTGCAGAAGGCTGTTGATAGGCTGATTGTGAGCTACCTGCACAGGCTTCTCAGGGATTTCATACACTAACTGGTATCCTGACAGATGGCACCACCTTGCCATGCCAATCATACTGGGCACTGGCTCAGCACAGCAAAAAAATCTGTGGATTAAAACTGACCTAATGACATCAAATCATTGAGTTTTTGGGAAATAATTGTTTGTATCTCAGTCCCATTTACTTAGAAATTGAAAGAGACAGGCCTGTGCAAGCTGAAGGACCCTATGCCATTAATCTGGCAGACAGAAAGATTGTCTCTGGGGACACTCATGTACATTTATTTGGAGCTGCCACACACAGATTGCAAATTGTCTATTATGGTACCACTGATACAGAAAATGGACACCTCCAACTGACCAGGTATCTGCTTTACAGGCTATACCCAGTGCATACACATAATGCAACATTTTCACGAACCATCCTTTCTTTAACGGCACTCTCTCTGCGATCTGGATCCCTATGGCCTCCAACCAAAGGACAGCATTTCATCACTCTCTGGCCAAGAACACCTAACTCCTCATCCTTGACCTAGAGTTCCTCCTGCTAATGCATGTTCCGTGCAGTCCCCTCTGAGTCATCCCCTTGAATGCTCCTCAGGCAGATATTTCTTGACTACTATTTGGTAGAGACAGAATGAGTGTCAGCATGTGCAATAAAGTGATGTCAGTGCAGGTAGAACAGAGGATTGGTATGTCTTCTGTATCTTCTAATTCATGTTTGGAATTCTGGAGTGCAGTAGGATCTATGTATTCCAATGCAAGAGTCACAAAAAACTTGTTAGCAGGTACAGCGCACAATTGAGGAAAATGATAGATTGCTATCTTTTATTATGAAACCAATGAAAATACAGATTTCATGCTTTAGTTACACAGGGAATTGGTGAGACTACATCTCAAATATTGGACAGGCTGTACAGCCCCAAACGATGAGTGTCTAGAGTTCCGACTGACCTCTATGCTTCTCCTTGGCTGTGTTCCCATGACTCCCTGGACATTTTGCAATGGGTCCACTTCCTGGACTGAAGAACTGAAGCCCCCTGCCCCACCCCACCCCGAGCATGACCATCCCAGCTGGCCATCTGAACATGTCTGCCCTTGAATCACTGTGCAAGAACCCTCCTGGACTTCACTAAGGACTATGCCATGTCCATTGGCTGTAGCCAATGCAGTGTGTTTGGCATGTCTGCAGCCGGCACATAGTGCAGGTATGAGTTTGACGTAGCATATTGCCGTACAGCAACTAACTCCTTTTACTGATGACAGCTGACAAGCCGCCTGGCTTTGTGGCTGTGATAAACAACAAGGCAGCACAGAAGTATGTGATCCTTTAAGGTCTAGTAGAGGGGTGAAAGTGCAAAAGACAAGACAAAATGGGGATGCTGTGAGCATCCAAGCAGGTGCTAAGTGAGCAAGCACCAAGTGCGCAAGCGAGGAGCCCTGAGATAAACCTGGTCCAATACGTGAGCTGGGTACCTGACCCTGTGCACAAAGAGTTCCAGCAGCAGTATTTCAGTAAAAGGTGCCAGTGCACTGTAGCACTGAAATGCAGAACCTACTATAAGTGGGCAGGCGTTGTGCAATAATGATGTGGAAAGGCTGGCATGTGGTGGAGTGTTTGTGGTCACTGTCTATGGAAAATGCCCTGAGATGGTTGGTGCTGGGTGTCAAAAATAGAGCCAGAGGAGCAAGTGGCAAACTAGAGTTGCCAGGTACCCGCTCTGAATTTCATGTAGAGAACTCTAGGTGCCTAGTTTCCATTGAGCAGGTGAGAGAATGGGAGCATGCATGTAAGTGTGATGAGATTAAATAATGATGAGGGTGATAATTAGTGATGATGCCCATTCACAAGCCTCTCGACACTTAATAGAAAGAATCAAGACTCAATGGTTGGGCTTTGCAATTTTTCAGTCTTGATGTTAAGAAAGGACACACTGGGACATCTAAAGCAATTCTCCCTAATTACTCACCATAGTCCAAATTGTTTACGAGCTGAGAAGATTCCACTCTTAAAATCTTTTTGCTTTATAGGATATATAACAAGAAAGGATACTGTCCACAGCAATTATAATAAGCCTTTATGTTGCACACTTACATTAAGGTCATCACACTACAGGAGAGCTATGTTTGCACTTGACCAGGTAAACCAGGCTAACCTCAAATTTAAGAGGATGAGTCAGAGGAAAGATTGGGAGAATTTAATCTTTAGAGTCCTGAATGAAATCTGAGCAGAATTTCATTCACATTTATAATTGTGCAGAAGATAAAGACAAATGACAATTGAAACATGCCACTGAATTAAGCTAATAAAGCCAAATTATCTTTTTTCATTCCTGAGCTCTGTTACACTGTTTTACCATCTGAGACAGCATCAAACTGCACCCTCATCACTTGCTAGTTACATGGCTGTTGGAGATGATGTTCAACTAGTTCATTATTTAATTAAAAGCAGCTTTTTGACACGTTAGATTCTTAGGTAGAGTATCAATACCCCCTATATGATGCAAAATCTATCTGTATTTAAAATATGGCTTTTATTTACATTTATACATGTGTGTGCAGGGAGGCCTCCACTTACAATCAATATCTAAGGTTGGTTCTTCAATTTAGTATTTCCTCTTCCTCCAATTACCTACAACAGATAATGTGGTTAACTTTTGTTTTGAGTCCTTGTGATTCCCACTAGCCAGTAACCAAAACAGGCAATATTTTTTCATGAAAATAAGGTAGAACTTCTGAGTCATTCCCCATGGTGACATGACTCCCTTCTGACAGTGAGAATAGGAAAATTAATGGATGGAAAATCAATCACAGGCAAAATAAATAGCAATTTCCATTTTGAGTCAATGTCAGGGAAGGAGTGAAATATTTTGGCTATTTTCATAAAGTATAAGTGGAAGAGGAGATCCTATTTCCTATGGACATAAAGTTCCTTTTATTTATGTCTGCTTTACCATTACCTGGGAGCAGTATAACCAGTTGAAATACTGGTTGACAATATACAATTAATATTCAATGGATATAGCCCACAGGTGAAAATCTTGCATATGTAAGTATACTTACTCCTGCTATATGAAGTAATACTCCTCCTTGTTGTCTCTCCTTATTGGTAAAAAGATCACTTGGAAATTCACGGATAGCTGTAATGGGAACAACACACATCAAAGGCTGTAAAGTATCCCCAGAAGTGCTCTTCAAGATAATGGGCAGCTTTGCACATACTGCAGCTGCTTACAAAATCAGGACTAAAATATCAAAGGATGCTTTATTCAATAAACAATAGCAGAAAAACAAATATATCAACAAGGAAGTGTCTCTTCAGAATAAGCATCAGTAAATTTGAACAAATAGCCTTCATTGTGAGCATGATTATATACACTCAGTGTGGACTGTGTCTTCACTCATTCAACTGGGTACTTGGACCGTACTCATGTACATAATCTAGACCATAATTGAAATCATTAAAGCTTTAATAGAAGCTACACACTGCTTTTAAAAATGGTGAGGAGGTATGGGGCTGAGTTTATTGCAACCTAGTGTCTGGCCCCGATTAATCACAGGAGAGGCTTTACAAAGATTTCCCTGTGGTAGTAAACTTCCTGCCTTTAAGTTGAAAGTAGGAATGTCTGCATTGGGGATCTTGCCCATTTGTTGCAATTGTCAATTAGGTACATTATTAAGTTAATTGACACCAACTATCCCTGAGCACACTGGAATTTAATCAAGACTTGAAGATTATGTGAGGGTCACAGCTTTCCTGTGGCTGTCCAGCAAATCTGGTTATGCTTGGTTGTGGCCTTCTTGGGTTTGGCGGATATGGCAGAGGGATGGGGGATAATGGGAGGGGCATGGGCATATGGGAGGGGGATGGGGGGGAATGGGGCAATGAAGGTTGGTGCGGCTTTTATCAAAGACACTTTTAATGCCCAATTGGGGGACTTGGTGTCAGGGTGGCTGCTGAAAGTAACACTCTGTCTCATTCCTATGACTCCCATCTCACACATTCACCTGGGTCCCTCACGATCCTAGGCAAATTACTGGCAGCAGTCACCTTCTCATTGGCTGGCAGGACTCAATGCAAGATTTCCTCTCCCAGGTCCTGAGCCCAAGGAAGACCTGACAATGGCCAGTTAATTTCACTGGGCCTCCCCTCAGAAGGCTGTGTATGTATCACGCTGGTTCATCAATTGATGGAGGGAAGCAGCGTCAGCTCCATTTAATTCTGCCTGAAGTTTTTCAGTCTACCATTGCTTCAAATTCATTTGATTTGGCATATTTTTATTCTGCTCGCTATCTTGCCCCCATGTTGGATTTATCCTTCTTGCTGCTGAATCAGGAATTTGTCCACGTCCTGAGTGTTTCAGTCAATACCCGACCGCTAACACAGCATTTTCCACTATGTTACTTCTTCCATTGAATGTGGGCATTGCTAACTAGGACGAAATTGTTGATGATCACTAATTTCTCTAGAGAAGGTGGTGGTGAGTTGCTTTTTTGTATCATTACAGTTTTTGGGGTATAGGTACTCTCAAGTGATGTTAGGAGGGAAGTTCCAGGGTTTTGACCTAGCAACAGTAAAGGAATGGCAGCATAGTTCTAAGACAAGATGGTGTGAAGCTTGGAAGGTGTCCCCATGTATCTACTGCTCTTGTCCTTCAAAGTGGTAAAGATTTGGAAGGCCTTTCTGAAGAAGGGTCTAGGCCCGAGGCATCAGCCTTCCTGCTCCTCTGATGCTGCTTGGTCTGCTGTGTTCATCCAGCTCTACACCTTGTTATCTAAGATTTGGAAGGCGCTGTCAGAGGTCCTTGGGGAGTTTCTGCAGTGCATCTTCTAAATGGAATATGCCATGGTGTGTCAAAACTGGAGGAAGTGAATGTTTAAGCTGACGAATAGGGAGACAATCAACCAGACTGTTTTGTCCTGGACGGTGATAAGCTTCATGAGTTTAGCTTGAACTGCGCCCACCCAGCCAAGCGTAGAAGTGGCCATAGTCTCAGAGTATCACTGGCTGCTCTTTCATTAGAAAGAAACAACTAGCAGGGTGAGTTTAACCAGAGGGGTCACCACGGGCTCAGGGGAGGTTGAGAAGCTGCGATTTTCGTGGTGACCTTACCCTGTACAGGATTTCAACCATGCTTTTGATGTCACTCTGCAAGGCATATCAACCATTCAGACAATTGAGCTTACCAACCTAGAAGTATTCTCCATTTTCCTGACTTCTGTCTTGTAGATTGTGAATTAGCATGGGGACTGGAAGATAAATTCTGCACTTTAGAATTCCCAGCCTACTCTTGCAGCCACAGTATGGCCATGGCCAACCCAGTTCAGTTTCTGGTCAACACAAACTCCCTAAATGCTGGCAGTGCAGGATTCAGTCATTGTAATGTGATTGATAATGGGAGAAGGTTAGATTCTCTCTTTTTGGAAATGTGTGCTGCAAACATTACTTGCCACTTAATTGACAGCGTTCATGTTTGGGTCTAAGTCTTGCTGCACATCTCATTGAATCCTCACAGTGTGGAGACAGGCCCTTTGGCCCAACAAGTCCACACTGACCCTCAGAGCATCCCACCCAGACCCATCCCCCTTTAACACACTTAATCTATACATCCCCTGAACACTACAGGCAATTTAGCATGGCCAATCCACCGAATCTGCACATCTTTGGACTGTGGGAGGAAACCGGAGCACCCAGAGGAAACCCACGCAGACACGGGGAGAATGTGCAAACTCCACACAGACAGTCACCCGAGGATGGAATCGAACTCAGGTCCCTGGTGCTGTGAGACAGCAGTGCTAACCACTGAGCCACCATACCGCCCCTTTTTTAAAAAAAATGCCCATTGAGTCTGTGCTGGTCACAAGCAACCATTATTTAATCACTATTCACTACATAATCACTATTTTCTAATCCCATTTCCCTAGCACTTGGCCCATAGCCTTAGCATCTCAAAAGTGAGATCTGTTTTCATCTCTGGGTGGTTTCCGAACCACCAACCTTCCAGTTAATAGCCAAACGCACTAACCTATTGCACCACAGAAACAGGGTGGTTTTTTCCCTTTTTTTGGACACAGACATGGACTGCTTCAGTATCTAAGAAATTGTGAATGGTACTGAAAACTATTATCATGAGAAAATATCCACAGTTTAGCAGTTGTGATGGAAGGAAAGTCATTGATAAAACAGCTGTGATGCTGGGGGCTAAGGCAATAACTTGACAAATTCCTGCAACTATTTGCTGCGACTGAGATGATTGGCCTCCATCAGCCACTACAATCTTCCTTTGTACTAAGTAGAACTCCAACTAATAAAACGTTTTTCCGAAATTCCAACTGGCTTCAATTTGCCAGGACCCCTTGATGTGAGTTTTGGTTCAATGTGTCCTTGATGTCAAGGGCAGTTGCTCTCGCCTCACTTCTGGAGTTCAGCTCTTTCGTTGGTGGTTGAACGCCAGGCACTGTAATGAGGTTGGGAGCTATAATAATGCCAAAAACTGAGGTGGCTTAGTAGAACCCAAACAAAGTGTTAGTGAACTGTGGCCATAAGGACATAATTCTAACTGTGAAAGTGTTTGAGGTTTTTATTCAGCAGATGATTTTGTTACATTATTAGTCAAGCTCTCTAATTCTCATCTATCTCAGGAAATAGAATGTCTACATCTCAAACCCATTCATCATTGTTGACACAAACCAAATTTTAACGTTTCACATTTACAGTCATTGTTATAGGGTCAGGATCCCATTGTCCACTGTTGCAAATGAAAATCAATGCTAGAGTTCCTACCTGCTCCAGAGTTTGAATCTCTGGCTCAAGCTGTGGTTGGGAGTTCTGGGGCTTATTTTGTGAAATCAATCAATTCCTGACAGTAGGATGCAGCAGAATTCCAGCCCCTGCAGCAGCAATATCATCAGGATGGGGCTGTTATTAGAGCATCACAGTCAATCTGTGTGACTTTATGCACAAGTCGTTATTAATTTATAGTCATTTTCATGTGAAGCAGGAATCGAGGGCAAAGGACATAGTTCAATCCCTAACGTAGTCACGTACCAGTACCTTAATCTATATTTATAATGGCAATTTCTATGCCACAGGAATGCTGTAAGCTGCCTATCAAGTAAAAGCTGTATTGAAATGTTCCCACCAATGATCCTTCAGCACCCCAACTGGATAAAAGGTGTAATTGCAGTGTGAGAAATTTATATTAGCAGTCCTCATTAGAAATTCCTTGTTCATATCTATGATGAGAAAAGGTGACATAAATGTGCAGACACTATAATTTTACTACACTGAAGATATTCAGTAGAACTACATTTACACTGTCACTGATGCAGACAAATGAAATTTTTTTCCACCTAACTTTGCAGAACAGTTCACACTTGATTAGGCTACAAAATAAGGAATCAGGATATACCTGTCTCATAGATTTGACAATTTATAAGCTGTCCTATGTAACTAAGTTTATCTGTTACTATAGAGCAGCTTCAAATGACAAAATTTATAATCAAAATGTTTAAGGACAATCAAAATAAATATAAGGAAAGATTAAAAATGATCAAACAAGTTCTGAGTTGCTAAGCTTCTGGAAATATTAGAAGGAAAACAAATAAGCATTGATTGTCAGTCTAAGTCATGCAGTTAATAGTCTAGAAGTTTGATGAATTTATCTTTGGGAGTTCAGGTAAAATTGTACAGCCTATTTGTAGAAGGCTGGGCAAAATCAAGGAAAGAATGGTTGTTACTGAGTGGGAAACAAATTTGTTTGATAGTCAAATTAACTTCTTAATTTTATACTTTCTTCTTATGTCCTCATGTGAATTTCTCCAATTGTGTCCAAAGGTATATCGAAGTGGTACTGGTAATAACCTGTCGTCATTTATTCCCTCAATTGCTCAAATTTACTATACTGAAGATATTCAATAAAACTACATTTACGTTGTCACTGGTGTAGACAAATGAAAATTTTTTCCACCTAACTTCGCAAAACAGTTCATGCTTAATTAGGCTACAAAATAAGGAAACAGGATATACCTGTCTCATAGCTATGAGAATTTACAAGCTGTCCTATGTCCTAAGCAGATCTAAGAAAGAAAGAACAGCATTGTTAAAGTTAATTTTCAGGAGTCATAGCTCCGTCTTGTG